GTCTTGTTTCTCTTTGTATTTAAATAAAGTACAATGGCTATAACTTTCACCCATCAATACTTTAAGGTTATATTTTTATCAGAAGGCAGAAAAAAATTCACTTTACACTGAAAATCATTTGTAGGCCTTTTTTTTCTTTTCTTTTGTGATAGTGGAGAAATATCAGGCTAGCAACAGAAAACAAAGGCAGACACAAAAAAACCCACTATCTTATGCCTTTACTGTATATATATATGATAGCCCTAAGTGCTAACTTAGTGAGGCAGTTAATTCTTTAGTGTAATTTTATATCTTGCACATTCATTTGTTACATGTGAGTTTTTAACTTTTAACATTAAGGATTTGCGCCGATAGGCCGTGATGCCAGTTGCGCAATTTGGCAAAGCGTGGGCTGTTACGTTCCGTTTCAAACCTTTCCCTGTGGCATGGAGAAAGAGAGAGAAAGAAAGAGAGAGAGAGAGAGAAAGGAGGAAGAAAGACAGGGGTTAGGGAATGTGGCCACCACTCCCTTGCTTTATAACTAGGGCAATGGCAATTTATTTGGATTTATGTTACTTCTCAAAATAAAGCCAACTGAGGCTGGGTGATCCTTTCCATATACATTTTAGAAAGCTTTTCAGATTTGTATTTTTGAGGTATAATGTAACACAAATTTGTATTTCTTGGTTTTGGTTTAGTTTGACAGGGCTGCTTTTGCTAGAAATTCTCCACAATTCTGCTGTTTTCCTTCCAGCAGACACTCAGCTTTTTTTCCAGCTGAGCCAGAAGTGAAAGTCAACATTGTACAAGACAAAATTAATGCAAACATTTCTAACCCTGTAATATCTAGTCAGCCTAGATCTTATGAGAATAAGGACCATTAGTTGCAAATTTTCCTCATAGCTTTTCTACTTTTGTTAGAGATTAGGCAATGAGAACCAGAAATTCCGCATTTGAATTAAAAACAGAACAAGACAGAAGCACAATCCTATGTGGTACTGATCACATCCATCTCCCATCAACTTCACTAGGAGAAGAGCACACTCAGCATCTCTCAAGATTGGACCTTTTCTGGATATTTTCCTCTGGTTTAGGCCCTAGGTTTTCTAAGTTAAATAAATAAAGGGGTTTGGGTGTGTGTAGAAACAGAAGAGAACTTCACAAAGCTTAATCAAAATTAAAATGTTCACATGATTTGTGTATGTCTTTGTTTCAAAGCAGACAAGTTCATTTCTCCTACGTGGCTGATATCCATACACAAATCCATTGTATTCATGCAGGAGAGCCAGAGAGGGAAACTTACCAGAGAAACAGAAAATAAACAGACCAGGCTAGTTTTACTCTCCAAGCTTTACAAAGCACAAACAAAAAACAGAGTAAATGGTGACAAGTACTTCCATTTTTTAAATCCTTCCATTTCTAACAGCATAAGATGATACAATTAACACATCTAAGGTACTCTCTTGATGTATGATTTCTCAAATGCCACTCTACTCATAAAAAATAAAATTAGTTAGAATTCCCCTAGTATTGATACTGCAACTTTGAGAGGTATATTTTCAAAGCAATGCATAGGGTAGTAGCTGTGCAGCTTCAACTGGATTTAATAGAAATCAGGATGTTGAAGAAAGCCCTCAAGGTTTTGAAGATATATCCCTCCATCTCCATGTATGGAAGGGTATTAATTCCAGAGATGTCTGTTTTACTGGCAATAGACAAATGACTTATCAAATTTTCAACAAAACAGTTACAACAATCCCAATGCAAAGGATAGATTTCAGAACAAACAGTAGCCTTAAATCCAGAGTACCTCAAAGTGCCTTTCACCCACTGTCACATGTGCCTGTGGGCTTGCCAGAAAAGGTTGAACAAAAGAGGCATAAAACACACTAATTAATATGAACTGAAACAGGCATTTTGCCATCTGAATATTCCTGCATGTTATAGGCTCTGTTCAAAGAACATGACAATAGGCACCAAGTCTAGGGATGAATACTTGGCATTAAAAAGAGTTCCCCCAAATAGGAAAGTTACTTGTGGTTTCCTTCTTTGAAAATGTCAAACAGAAAAGTTGACGCACAGCTGCCTCTAAGGCTATGTCTAGACTGCAAGCCTCTTTCGAAAGAGGATCTTTCGAAAGATACTTTCGAAAGAGCCTTTTTTGAAAGAGAGCGTCTAGACTGCACGTTGAACTTTCGAAAAAGCGGCTTGCTTTTTTACAGAGTGGCCATCAGGGCACCTGTGCTTTTTCCGTTTTCCTCTTCTTTTGAAAGAACTCCCTCTTCCCCGTCCACACACGCCTTTTTCCGAAAGAGCTCTTGCGGAAAAAGGCTTCTTCATCACAGAATGAGGATTACCAATGTTGTAAAAACCCCTCTGTTCTTTCAATTTTCTTTCAGAAGAATGCGATTGCAGTGTGGACGTAATTGAAGTTTTTTCAGAAAAACAGCCATTTTTCCCAAAAAAACCCTCTGTAGAGTAAACATATCCTGAGTCTGATTCATTGTTATTATCATTGTGCCCACTGAACACAACTGAAACCCAGAAAAGAGAGGAAAAGCACAAGAGAGAAGAAAGCACTCTTGGCAGGCATGACTCTGGATTAAAATTCTCTATTACATGAGAATTCTGACAGTTTAACTTGTGTGTACATGAAACTTGTCCATCAAGGATGGCATCTGACAGTCTGATATAGACCTCAAACCAATGGATCACTAAAGAACTGCAAGCACTCCTGCAGGATTTATTCCTCCAAGGGATCTCCTTACCTTTGGCTGTCCCAGAAACCCCAATGAAAGGGTGGCAATGTACAATTCTGCAGGCTCTGTCTAAAATAATATATACTCCTCGGAGACTTGTGGTAGAGCTTAGCATAATACACACACCTATTCCTTCAGACCTTTTGTAACTAGGACCCTGTGGATGGGTTTCTGCTGTCTTGGACAACGGGGCACAAGAAGAGGGGAGCATGCTGTGGATATGTTACACTCTCCTTCCATGCCTTTCAGAACTAGATCTATAGGCACAGGTTGTTCTCTGCATGTGAAAGTAAAGAGAGACATGAGGGAGAATAGGAAGAATGTTACAGTCCAAGTTACATTCCCTTCGGCACTGCTTATAAAAAAAAATGCAGAAGAGCACCTTTAAAAGTCCTTGTTCTTCAGTGACTCCTGGTCAGTGTCATTAACATTTCCTTATTAAAAATAATAATGCAAAATGATACATTAGAAGTGCACAACACTGACAACATAAAATATACAAAAAAATAGCATCATGTACTTTAAATTACATCAAATAATAATGTGCAATTTACAGTACAGATACTTGTATGGTATTAATCAATTATTCCTTTAAAAATCTATCCCTTTCCAAGTGTTATTTTCAAACACTTAGGCCTTTCTAAATGTATTTTCTGTTTATGGACTACCTCTAAAGCTCATGAAGGGCTAAATTCTGCCCCCAAATGCATGAGTGGGAGCCGATCTCTAGCATCAGTTCTAGTGAAGGTCCTTCCTATGGATAGTGTCTGTGTGGATACTGCAGAATTTGCTTTAGGTTCCTCTGAAGTTAACAGGACTTCGGAACACACTTGTTGAATAAATGATATCAGCCTGTAATGAACGATGACATCAATAGGAATTGTCTTTGCACATTTGAGGACAGAATTTAGTGCAATAGTAGCACAAACGTTAGCTGATGTGGTGGTGTCTAGCTATGCAACTTCCATGAACTGTAGTGGAACCTGGATGGGAAAGACATCCAATAGATACTTACATCCTTGGATTTGTATTTTCATATTGTGAGTAGAAAGATGTGTGTTTTGCTCATAGAATATAGTACTGGAAGGGAGCTTAAAAGGTCATTGAGCCCAGTTCCCTGAACTCATGGCAGGACCAAGCACCAACTCTAGACCATCCATGCCAGTTGTCTACCCTGCTCTTAAAAATCTCTAATGATGGAGATTCCACAGACAATCTCCCTCTGCATTTATTCCAGAGATTAACCACCCTGACAGGAATTTTTTCCTAATGTCCAACCTCAACATCCCTTGCTACAATTTAATCATCAACTCCTCTTTGTAACCCTATATTAGCTGCAGAATAATCAGAAGTCCAAAATCTTGCATAGCAGATACTTTGTAATAACACAATTTAAACAGTGAGTGGGCAGAATATCAGACCAATCACAAACCAAGGAAGTTGTTTACAATATTTTTGGCAAGCTAGGGATGTGAAATAAATCAGGCGAGGACCCCGATGCTCTATTTTAATCACAAATTGCTGAACTAGATGCAGAAATCTTTGGGTAAATCTACAGCATGTGTTATGCAGATGTCAGAATAGATTATCATAAATGTTCATAATAGTCTTACAATTTATGAGCCTAGGAATGTGTAAAATCCGTATTGGCAGAACATTTGAAAATGGGTATGTATTTTTCCCCAGTAGCAAAAGCAGTCCTGTATTTTCATATGTGCATTATCTAAGAAAAGAATAATGTTTTCTGTTTCACACAAAATCTATTCAGATTATGATTATTCCACGTATATAACTGGAAACAGCGATTTTACATATGTCAGCTGAATCAAGAGCCAATCACTGGATCATCCAAATAAATTGCTCATTAAATTTCAACACTACCATAACATCATATAGTTTTATCCAGTTACAGAACTGAATGCAGTCACATAGTGCTTGATCCTATGAGCCAAGCACAAACTGCACTCCCACTGAAGTCAATGGGAATTCCATGTGCAAAGAGCTTGCAGGATTGAGAACTCATTCCAGGATTTTGTACTGTTATTACACCTAATGGTATGTCACATTGTTACCCTTTCAATCCAGTAGTTCTTGCAGATTTCTAAACCAAAAACACTTTCATTTTCGTGATTGTTGAGTACGTGTGTTAGAAAAGTTAAGAAAAAAAATCTGGGTTTGTATTTTCATTTTAATGCCATTTTAGAGCATTAGGTATTGGTTATCAGTAAGGAGAGGCCATAATGCTTGCTGCTAGTTGCCTACCTTGATTTCCTCAGGGCTTCTTCATCTGGGTCTTGCACTGCAGAAGAGAAAATGATTGAGGTTACCAGGAAAGCGTAAAGGACAATACAATCTAAGGAGAGAAGCATGGCAGCTTTTCACCATGAGGTCACACAGAGATACAGAGTGAGTAGGAGCAACTCTAGCTTCAATGGAATTTCTAGGGTTAGAGCAGTGGTTCCCAACCTGTGGTCCATAGACCCCTGCTGGTCAACAGTGGTACTGCAGGGGTCTGTGGAAAGTTTAAAAATAAAGATCTAGCCCACCTTACCTTTCTTTTTCTTTTCTCCCCCAGGAAGGGAGTGCATGAAATTTTAATAGATTGAAAAGGGGTTGCATGCTCGAAAAGATTGGGAACCAGTGGGTTAGAGAGTGGGGCAGTGGTGAGAGTGTGAAGCTGGTGATAATGTGTGAAGTTTGTGCCTAATGGTCAGAAAAAAAATCCATGGGCAGTAAACACAGAACCTCTACCTCCTGTGTCATTTGTGGACTTGGATCAGGGTCTAGTGTCTTGCTCGCATGGCTGTTAGTTAGAAAATCACAAGGACATTGCAAATAAGGTTCCATTTTCTGCTTCCAGAATGCCCATTACATAAAAGTATATTGCAGCAGAAGTTAAGATGATCACTGCATTTCAAAGGAATTAGTAGTTTTGTAACCATAACATCCTTCCCCGAGAAGTGAGAATGCCTGCTTAATTACACTAATTACATTGGATTGCTGGAGGAAAAACTACATGAGCCCAAGATACTCTAGGACTGCGGTATCCAACGTGCTAACCACTAGCCACATGTGGCTATTTGGCCAGTTGAATGTGGCTAATTCAGTATAGCAGTAGCCACTATAATGGTTACTGCTATAGAACTGGTTGGACACGACTACTGTAGGACCTTTTTTAGTTAATGATTATTATTAGCACTCACCACACATGGTATTCATAAGAGACTGATCAAAGATTTCCTTTATAGAAAACAATGAAGTAGTTAGCTTTTAGGTTTACTAATTCCCCCTTGAACTGGATTTAGAGCTCTGTGAGTTTAGCCCACTTTTTTAAGGCTTACTGTCCAATCTAGCTCATCTCATCTGACAAAGTGGGTTTTACCAATGAAAGCTCATGATACTTTATATATTTTTGTTATTCTCTCAGGTGCCACAGGACTACTCATTTTTGAAGGGAGTGAGTCATCTTTGAGACTCAACAGTTATTGTATAAAAGAGTAAAGACAAAATAAAATTAATCTAAAAACAAATTTGGGGTTTCACTGCTTGACTTACTGTACTCTGTTCCCGTCATCTGGGCGAGGATGCGGAAAGACTTGGACTGGAGATTGGCAGAACGACGAGTCCAGTCATCAATCTCATCCTCAGACTTGTTCTGAGTTTTAAGCACTGCTTGATACACTGGAGAGGCACTGTCTATGTGAGGATCTTTAACAGGAAGGCTACTGCAATGCAGAAAAGGGTGCATTATAAAAGAGCACATGCTGACTTTGCTTCCCTACCCCACCTCATATGGCAGTCTCTCTTCCAAAACAATCAACAAAAACTAAAACCATTGTTTTGGAAAAAATCATTTTCTTAAGATATAAACAAATTATAGTAAATCAAAACCATATGAATCAAGAACATTTCAGCTCACTCTGTCTTTACCATTACATATTCTTCATGCTAGAGCAGCCCCATCCATCAGATGAATTGGAGCAGCCACCGCAGGTCCCGTGCTTTTGGGGACCCCGCAGTGGTTGCCCCAGTTGTCCTATGGACAGTACAGACACAGAGGATTAAGGGGTCCTGGTACAGAGGGGGCAGTGATCCTTCCCGTACCACCACATGAACGGTGAGCACCGGAGCAGATGAGCAGCCGGCTCTGCTTCACGGCACTGCTTTCCGCTAATCTGTTGCACTTGGCTTCTCAGTGGTGACAGGAAATAGAGTGTCCTGCCCCAGGGTGCTTTGCTTTCCTCTGCCACAGGGAAGCAAATTACATCAGGCTGGGAGGGCAGTGGCAGGGCAGAGCAAGCTGCTCCAGCTCCCACTGCTCGTGTGGTGAGTGGTGTGTGCGGGTGGGAAAAGGTCTGTCCATGGCCCCAAGGCCAACACAGCCACACGATTATGGCAGTAATATATCAATATAGAGCAATAAAAGATGGCCAGCAAGTCAAGATTACTGAACTAGTTAAGTATTCTTACTCCTTTAATTTTGCATAGTGTGTGCCCAATGGTGTGGAGATAGATAACTGACCCTAGAGTATATTATTGCAGTTGTGGGAATGGACCATTTTAAAGGTTACACTGAAAAGAAGAAAACATATTCAATTTTAAAAAGTAAATTTATTATAGTTTTTTATTCTTTTCAGAGGTAGGCTGGTACCAAAACTCTTCAGACCATTAGAAAATCTGGATTCAAACTCGTGGCTCAGGCACTTCTCTAGTTATTTCATATTTCAGAGCTTCATTATTAAACTATATCAAGTGTTTTATGATCCTTTTGATGACCTTGCACAGATGGTATAGGGAGAACCATTTAGCTGTGCAAACTACCAGTGTTTATGAGATGCCCTATAACACCAATTGAGTAGATATGGTCATTTGCTAGTTTTTTTCCCCTTAAAAACTACTTTGGCATATTGTGTAGTTAAATTAAATATTAATAGAGCTGCAGATCATTGGCTCCAGAACTCTTCTATGTACAAGATTATTTTTGAAGAGAATGATGTGTTGAAACTACATTGTAACTTTATGATCTGTGCCGTAAAGTGCTTTGAAAGTGGCACGCTTGACATCATGAACATTGAGGAAAAAGCTATTTTAAAAATTAAGGGCCATATTGTCCAGAGAGCTCCCTGCTATAAAGATCAGGGAATCAGAGCAGCATCCTGCTTTAAGGCCCAGGTAGTTGCTCAGACTTCCTGCTTGGTAAGATGCAATTCTCTAGAGTAAAAATGGAGATATAGTTTGACAAGGAGAGGAGTCAGGGAAAAGCTAAAATAACCAATATGACGCCGTGCAGCCAATATATAATTTGCCAGAGGAAAAAGTGTTGCCACTTATTGATGCTCTGAGCAGCAGCGGTTTACTATTGTCAGACGTTCTCCTTCAGCATAGCATAGTATAAGCCATATCAATGGATTTGCATCTGCAAATGACATGGGGAGGTGTGCATTTCATGTCAGAATACAAGGAACTTAGAAACACTGTGAGTGTTTAAATATTCTATGGATCCCTATTCCATACAGCAGTGAGTCTAAAAAGCACTAGCATATGTATCATCTCTAAATGGGGTATTTGTACCTGTTCCTTCCTCCCCTGAGCATATGCTGCCTTCTGACTTTCCTGAGGCTCTGACAGGATGTTAGAAAGCATCACACGAAGTGTACATTTCCTATTCTTTTGCACTTGCACAAAAGGGGAACATTCTTTAATACTATGAACTAATTTTTCACTGTTGGACCATAAATTAGATTAAACCCATAAAACGGGCTTCTGCCAGAGACCCATGGTGAGATGGAACATATGCCCTTTTGGAAGAGTACAGAAACAGAATGAAGCTGCATTCTCACTTTCTGTATCTGCCTTTTGTCTTTCTCTAGTACCCATCATAGTGGTATCTAAGTCCTGACAGGTGTGGGAACACGGGGGCACTTGCAAAGGTAGCACTGATTCTGAGCTTCTCTCGGTAGTCTACACCAGCAGAATTTCTTTATGGTCCCAGCTGTAAACTAAAGCTGCCTCCTTCCCTCACCCCAACCCCTGGAGACCCTGAGGGAAGATAGGGGAGGGACAGCATCAAGCTCCCTTAACTGACTCTTACATAGAGAATGAAGGGAAGTATAAGTCACACCTTCCACTGAGGCACTAGTGAATCAAGTTTTCTATCAGAAACAGCCTAATGAAAAAATGTTGTAATGTGAATAGAAAAGAAAGAAATGAAGCCTACATTAGGGTCATGCAATTCCCACATCTCACTCCTCAAACTACTCTCCATGAGAAGCATAAAAAAATAACAACTAACATTTTCTCCATCATAGCAAATGATTTAGTAAAGGTTTTCAGTTAGGTAGTAAAATGTTCATGTTTCCAACTACACTTTATGGCTGTGTCTAGACTGGCCAGTTTTTCCGGAAAATCAGCCTCTTTTCCGGAAAAACTTGCCAGCTGTCTACTTTGGCCGCTTGAATTTCCGCAAAAGCACTGACTTCCTACTGTAAGAAATCAGTGCTTTTTTGCGGAAATACTATGCTGCTCCCATTTGGGCAAAAGTCCCTTTAGAGCAAAACTTTTGCACAAAAGGGCCAGTGTAGACAGCTGAGATTTGTTTTGCGCAAAAAAGCCCCGATCGCGAAAATGGCGATCGGGGCTTTTTTGCACAAAAGCGCAACTAGATTGGCCACAGACGCTTTTCCACAAAAAGTGCTTTTGCGGAAAAGCGTCCGTGCCAATCTAGATGCTCTTTTCCACAAATGCTTTTAACGGAAAACTTTTCCGTTAAAAGCATTTCCGGAAAATCATGCCCGTCTAGATGTAGCCCATATGTTCATTTTGTTATTGAATAGGCAGCATCTTTTCCTTTTTCACTATGGCTGCCTGTTATTGGCTAACAGTTGATTAACTTTATATCACCAGACTTAAATTTGGATTCTCCTGGAGCTTAAACACTGCTGTGTTTAATGGCAAATTTTACAACTGCAGACTGATGGATACCAGATAATGAACCAACTGGATGGATGGTACTGCTGACTTCAACCATCAAGCTATGTGTTACTGTGGTAGCATTAGCATTTGAGTCATGGACAGAGAGCCAGGTTCATTTTGCTAAATCCTCTACTTACACTGCTTTATTCTAGTATTATGATGGATTTACAAAAAAAATTGATTAAAACTGTAAAAATAGAAATGCCCAATAGCTCAGTTGTGTCTGTGCAGCTGTAGATTGGGCAGATATTTCAGAATGGCAATAAGTATCAAGGTATTAATATCTTTATCGCAGATAATAAAGACAGGAAATGGATTCTGGTGAATTAACCTTTCTTCACTGAATTAACCTCACTCAAAATCAAACTAGGTTATCTGGTTGAGCATAACATATTGGAACATTTCCATTTATGACTTGAATGCAACAAGCCTTTATCTTTCTTTGAATCACAATTATATCACAAACAAGTACAGCGATATAGGAGGCAGTAGGAATGGCAGTGCATAATCGAGAGCAACGCTGGCTATTAATGGGCCTTTCCAAAAACTTAGATGAGGTATCTGACTCTTCTAGAAAAATCTTTTGTTTAATTTCCATTATCAAGGTATCAGTCACTACTAGGCTCTTTATTCCTTTTTAAAGTTTATTGCCCTACAGTGTTTTTGTGCACACAAAACAATTTGCTCAAGTTGTTTAGGGCACCTTTGTTCACATTGTTAGGTGTGTCATGCATTCACAGCAGAATGAATTTGCACCAAAATAAGATCTATAGATAATCAAACCTCTCTCAATAAGGAGTACAGTGTCTGTGACTTTCTATTCTGTATATATTCTGGCTCAATAAATAGACCAGATACTTAAGTCTTAACTTAATTTTAACTCAGTTCTTACTTGGGTAACAGAAGGCTGAGTTAAAAAAGTAAGTGCTTCAGGATTTGGCTCAATGTAAAAATACAGTTAATTTCCATGAAGGCAGGTATTCAATCCATGTAAGTACTGAATGGATGGCATCTTAACTCCAATTAGTAACAAAAGCAATTACAGAAATTATCAAAGACTTCAGGAATTGTAAAGTAGCCATCCATGTTTGTTCTTTAGTAGAGAATGTTATTGCTGCTTACTTCAGTTTACACACTTTAAGGGTTAATTTCAGCTGCTGGTCTTAGTTGGGGACAACCTTGCTGAAGTCATTAACATTACATCTACCTGCATTTGGAATGAATTTGGTCAAAAATACTTACTGCAAAAGAGGTTTGGCTGAAATGTACATGAAACACCATGAGTATGTGAGCTCATGGGCACCAACACTTGGTTCTTGGTTTATTATAATAAAGTACAGTACAAGAAGAATGATGAAAAAGGGCACACAGACAGGGCATCATCACTCTGCCTTCTTGGGGCACGTCTTTACAGCAGGGATAAAACTGAAATAAGCTATACAACTTGAGCTATGTCAATTGCGTAGCTTAAGTCAAAATAGCTTATTTCAGCTCTTGGTTCTGTCTACACAGCAGGAAGTGCAAGAAAGAACACTCTTCCTCCAGCTTCCCTTACTCCTCATAAAATGAGAAGTTGGAGTAAGAAGTTCTCCAGTTCAACATTATTTCAACATTATGTCAAAATAACTGCTTGTAGTGTAGATGCAGTCTTATGTTATTTCAGAATAATGTAAGTTATTCCAAAATAACACTGCTATGTAAACGTACCCTGATGTCCTGGCATGACAGTTTGAATAATTCCAGTGTAAATTGATTCAGTAACTTTGGATGATTTTCTTACTTAAAACAACATGGGCCTGATGCTGACCTTACTTATCCCAGCTTTAGCACCACTATCTGAAATGATTATTTCATAAACTGGCCCTAAACACTGGGATTTATATTTTTATTATTATTCATTGCAACACAATTGTACGTAGTGCTTCTAAGATTTCACATAATAAATCACTTGTTTTAATTCTCATGCTGAACGTACACATGTGAGATCTGAAGAGATCTTCTTACTCTTTTACATACATGGGGCCAGATTTTCTGCAGAGAATTGAATCTAAGGAGGACTAAAAGAGAATTTAGCTAACTATAAGACTACTGCTTGTACAGTTATTTTCATATTTAAAATCAAATGTTAAATCCAGGCTTGAGCAAGCTTCAACTCCACTATATTAAACTGGATTTCAGAACAGTCAACACATTACAGAAGGCACAAGCAGCACTCTGAAGAATCAAACCAATCATGTGATCAAATTAATTTAGTCCAATCACTGGCCAGGCCTTTACCTTTGAGATGATTTGATCACAGAGAAGAGGTGAAGATGTAATGCTTAACTTTAAAAGCACAGCACATAATATACCTGGAGGAATCTAGCAGTCACTTAGTAAGAAATTAGGAAATTTAGAAAAATAAATCTGTGCCAACAGGCTGTAATAATGAGCAGAGCATATTTAAAGATCCAAGTCAGAGTTCTCTTTAGATAGAAGCACCACTCTGAGCCGGATGAATATTAGACTATGGGGTTATCTATACATCATGGCAAATCACTCTACAGGAGTGTAATTTGTATAGCACCTAAATGTGCCGGGTAAGCCTGGCTGGACTTTTCTAATGGTATGTCTACACTGCAGTTAAAAAACACACAGCTGGCTTAAAAAGTACCTAGCTTATGTTAACATAGGACTGAAAGAGCCCTAGTGCAGCGTCCAGATTAGCTTTTAACTTTACATCACAGAGGAGGATTACTTCATGGGCATATATCTGAAGAGTAACAGTGAACTAAAACTGCCTGATATACAGAAATAAATGTCAGTAATTAAAATCCTTTAAAATGTAACATATAAAATGAAAAAATGAGAACAAAGCTTTTGCTGATATGTCCATTGATTTCTCTGATGATATGTCTTATGTAAAACAGAAAGGCTGACTCTTGTCTTTTATGTAGCTATGTTTATTTCCTTTTGTTTCTTTTCCAGTTAAACAGGTGTATCTACTTTTATTCTAGTGGTCATCATTTGGGCCTTCATCATTATGCAGACTACCCATTGCAGAATTCTCTAACATTAAAAAGTAAGTACATACTTTCCCCCTCTTACTAGAAAACATACTGAATCCCATCTCAATTTGAAATCAATGCAATTCTTTCACCTCATCTGGGATTTTCTGGAAGGGGCAGTCTCTGCTTTCTCAGAAGCATCTGGGACTAGCCTCATATAGGAGAGGCATGTTAAATCCAATAAGGCAAATTCTTTGTTTTGAACTTCATTTGACAGATCTCAAATGAAATTTTATAACCATGAGATCATCTAAATAGAAGTTTTAATGTTTTATTATTTGTATTGTATGTCTTTGTATATATAGTAACATGCCTCTAGAACCCAGCTGTTTGAAAGAAGTGAACTTTTTAAAAGAACACACACATACACTGCACTTCATTGCATTTGGATACTTGGAAATATGGATCTACTTACGCCAGTGGAGATTCACTGAGAGTCATATGGTCAAAACCCATCAAAAGGCATTGTGTAGGATCCATCATTAAGGAGAATTGGGATGTGCACAACAGAGTTATGTTAATATCAGAAATTAATGAAGAAAAGGATAGGATAAAGAGAAAAGAAAAGAAATGGTCAATAAAAGAGCAAAAGGGGATAAATAAAATGTTAGCACTTTGAATACGCTCACTAGTTATCACCTCAGTACAGACTATGTTAAAAGTATAGCACACATTTCTCCCTCCGATATCCATGAAAAGATGGGAAGTTTTCTATTCCAGACAGACAGATGTCTAAGTAGAGAAACATGGGGCCATGTGCATCATAGATCTAACTCCAATAAAAGCAGTGGAGTTACATCATAGATAATATTTCAGCAAATCCACAAGGAAATCAAATAATCCATCAACCAATCCATAATCCCAATCCTGCAAACTCTGGGTATTCTACACAGCAAAGTTATTTCAGGATACCAGAAATGTTCCAAAATAGCTACCCCACGACTTTTGAACATGTCAGCTATGTCAAAATATAGCTGATGCATTACTTTGCCATCCCTGTAAACCTCATTCTACAAGGAATAAGGGATGGCTCAAAATAGTGCTTTATTTTGGAATTTGGTGCTGGGTAGACAGCGCCAAATGACAAAATAAGCTATTTTGAAATAGACTCAAAGTAAGCTATGCAATTTGCATAGAGCAAATTGCGTATCTTATTTCAAGTTTCAGATGCTGTGTAGACGCACCCTATGTGGGCAGGCAGGTAGGTACCTATACAAATATACACTGAGTTCAATGCAAAACCACACTGGCATAATATTTAGGCCCTTAATTTGTTCTGGTTTGCACCGTGCATCCTCTCTCTTTAAAATCCATATTAGCAGTTGTCACAAAAGTCCTGCAGTATTTGGGGAGGGGGAAAATCAGGCCTTGGTTTGCCTCCCACTTAACCTGGCTTGAACACTGATTTAAATCCATCAGCAACAGTGAGGTTACTCTTCATTTACTCCAGCGTGAGAGAGAAGTGAAAAGGTTACAGATGAAAAGATGCTCATTAAGGCTATGTCTACACCACCACCAAGTTTATTGTAAAATAAGTTATTTAGAAATAATAACTCCCGAAATAACTATTTTGAAATAACGCATCCACACTACAAATGCCCATCGAAAAAGTGAAGATCTAAATTGAAATAGTGCATCCACATTCAGTGGAGCTTGAATCGCATTTAAGCCCCTCTCCCCCCCCCGGAAGCACACTGGGGAAGGCATCCGGACAGCAGTCACTTCCTGGAGCTGCTTCTTGAGGCTATCTGAGGCTTGTGCTTAAAGGGGTTCCCTTCTACGGCCATGTGTCAGTCTCTTCTCCACTGCCTACCTCCTTGAGGGACAGAAAACACCATGCTGGATGCTCTGGTTACCCTTGTGGATGCCACAGCACTTCCTCCATGGAGCCAGTCTTGCTGGAAAGCACTATGCAGACTGCAGGAGTATGATGACCAGCCTGGAATGAAGGAGCTCCTTACTCCAGCCTGGGTGTTCCTCATATACCACATTTCACCCCACGCTCCCCTGCACACTGTGCAATGCTTCTCCTGGTGTCGGGGGACCAGTACTGACTGGTGGGATGACCAGCAATGGCTCCAAAACTTCCGCATGTAGAAGGACATCTTCCTTGTTCTCTGTGAGTGGCTGACCACTGCTCTGCAGCAACGGGACACTTGGATGAGACCCGTTATTCCCCTCCAGAAGCATGTTGTCATTGCAGTTTGGAAGCTCGCCATGCTGGACAACTACCGCTCTGTGGGAAACCAGCTCGGCGTGGGAAGATTGACTGTTGGTGCCCTGGTGATGCAGGTTTGACTCTGCTGCTATTGTGAACTACTAAAATGGGTGTGGAATCTCTGTAGGTTTTGCAGTCCTGCCTTTGCAAAGCCCTGCTGGGGATGGGGTAGTTGGGATTGTTCCTGGTGTGGGAAGGGGCTTGGGGAACTCCCAAGGGCTCTGGCAACCCTGTGATTCTATCATTCTACAGATGGTTGAAGGCCAATCAATGCCATCCTGCTGTGTAGGGTTGTCACCCTGGGCGATGTGGGTCTCATCGTTGCTGGCTTTGCTGCCATGGGCTTCTAAACAGTGCCATTGATGGCACCCACATCCCCATCTGGGCCCCCAACCACTGTGCCTCTGATTACATCAATATGAAGGGGTACTGTTCAATGGTGCTACAGGCCCTCATGGACCACCGGGACTGGTTCACCAACATTAACACTGGGTGGTTGGGGAAAGTGCACAACACCCACATCTTTGGGAACTCCAGCCTGTTCCAGAAGATGCACGCTGGTACATTTTTCCCTAACCGCACCATCAGGGTCATGGATGTCAACATGCCTGTCTGCATTGTGAGCGAACAGACGACCCTTTGCTCCCAGCTTACACAGAACACCTGGACTCCATGAAGGTACAGTTTAATGCCAGGCCCAGCAGGTATCACATCATGGTGGAGGGCACCGTTAGCCTCTTCAAGGAGAGGTTCCAGTCTCTTCTCACCTGCCTGGACCTCAGCAACTGGAACATCTCCCAGGAGGTGATGGCCTGCTGTGTCCTGCACAACCTCTGTGAGAACAAGGGGGAGACGTTCCTGCCAGGGTGGAGGGCAGGCTGAGCAGCTTGCAAGGGCTTTTGAGCAGCCCCACACTGCTGCCATCCAGCAAGTCCATAAGGGGGAGAGTTTCAGACAAGGCCAGCTGTGACATTCTCCCCTGGGCCTCCGCATAAGGGGCTGCTGCATTGCCCCTGTGTGCCTTTCCTCCCCCAACCCTCCCTTCCCACCTTACTCTCTCCCCTGCAGACAAAATAAAAAAGACTTTGTTTGACACAATAAACTCTGTTATATTTATTTGGGGAATATACAACTGGGGAGGGACTGGTAAAAGAACCTGGAAGAGGAGAGGAGAAGGGAGAAAGGGGAGGAGAGGGCTCAGGGATGGGGCTCGGATTGGTGTCTGCCTTGGATGTGTTGGGATACCGCAACTGCTTGAGAGGTCCCACTGTCTTGTATGTGTAGCTCTCAGTGGCACCAGGGGAGGGCTAGGAGGAGAAGCCAATTGAGGGAGAGCAGGGGCCGGTATACATCATTGGTGTACACTGCACATATCGCCTCATGCTGCTGGGACAGCTGCTTCCACATGGTGCGGGAAAGCTCCTGGTTAGCTTGGCACTCCTGGTGGTCCTCCTTGAAGTTCCTTTTCAAGGAACAGAGGCACTTGAGGTGTTCCCTTGCCTGGTTGGCCTGGGTTCACCTCCACCTGCAACTCTTGCGGGGTCATGCTGATGGTGCTGGAGGAGATGAATGCGACCCACGCTTGCAGCTGGTCCACCTGTGAAGACACGTGAGAAGGGCAGATATTCCAGGAGACAACGTGCATGAAGCTGAGCCCTAATTTCTGAGCCAACACCAAAGGTCATGGTTCAGGTGATGGCGATGTGTTTAGAGTAAGGCCATCTGTTACCTAGACAGCAGGCACTTTCCAGCAGGGGCATGGATGTCCAAGGAGAGCCTTGCTACCTCATGTCCCAGGGACTAGCCGGCATGGGAAGGTGCCGGCCAGGCTAGAAGTGTGGGGGAAAGGGGGAGGTGTGGCTCAGCTTCACTCTGCATCCTGCATACACCGGGTCCAGCACTGGTGGTGTCCTTCAGAAAGAGAACTTCTATCCCTGCCTGCTGGAGGGGGGAAGGTACTGGGGGAGTTGTGTGTGAGCAGCAGAGGCTATTTTCTGGACAGAGTGCTACTGGGGTCTCCTCCTCTTCTTCTCCCCAGCAGGATCCCCTGCAGGAGATCGGTGTTCTCCAACTCACTGCACTTGACTGGGAGCAGATGCTACCCCGAGAGTGTGGGCATGAACCTGTGCCACGTGCGGCACTGCTATTCATTTCTATGACCCCATCCTCCTTAGTGGTGGCTTGTCAAGAGAAGGTGTCCCACCATGGAATCTGGAGTAAGACAGGCCTGTCAAGGAACCTTGTGAGATGGAACGACCGGTTACTGTGTGGCAGCCTCATGCAGCTGTGTGCTCTGGATTGGTGTTCCATGTTCAGGCTGTTGTGTGATCCCCAGGCCAAGAAAATTGAGTGAGGATTGCGCAGCCCCTTACAGCCTGCCAGCTGCCCGTGTGTACATAGGGAAAGTAACAAAACTCACCTGATGTGCCTTCTCCAGCCTCATCCAAGCCTTGGGAGACATTCTGGGAGTGGGCACCGGCTCCAGGGTGATGACCACCTTCTGAATGGTGGGCACAGTGTCCAGGCTGGTCTGCTCCTCCTCTTTGTCCTGGTCCACAGCCCACGCCCTTCTGGTCAGAGTCCACAATGTGTGTGTGTGGGGGGGGGGGAGGGGCGACCCCTCCCCCCAAGGATGCCATCCAGCTGCAGGTCTGGGGTGTCATTCCAGATTGGGAATTTTGTTCCCTGGCCTCAGTGTAGGCCAGGCTGGTGGCCATCCAGCCATAGATGTCGGCATCCCTGTACCTGGTGTGGAGATCCTGGAAATTCAACTCCTCACCCCAGACCTCTATGAGATCCAGAATCTCTACCCCAATCCATGCTGGGGCCCTCTTCTGCGCTTGGCCAGGCATGCTTGCAGCTTTAGGTTGCTAGGTGGGAGCATTGGGGGCTGCCATGGCAGCAGGGAAGGCTGTGCAGGGTCCTGCTGTGTGGCACTAGGTGAGCAGGGGCTGTTCAGTGCCACAGGCCCTTTCTCTTCTGCCTGTAGCTTTGAAGCCTGCAGGGGGAGGGAAACTACAGAGTTTTGAAGGGTGTGAACAGAATGGCCACCAGGGCAGTGGTGAGAAGCTCTGGAGTCCGATTATTTTGAAATAAGCACAACTGAGCATCCACAGTCACCCTATTTCAAAATAACAATTTTGAAATAGGTGTTATTCCTTGTGAAGTGAGAGTTTATTATTTTGAAATAATAAGCCCAATATTTCAAAATA